CCCCCCCCCCCCCCCCCGAGTGGTGGAATCTTAGCTTTTATAGGCCAGATGACAAACCCCATTTCAAGCCCTGATTGGTAGTTTTTCACAGGGGACGGGGTTTCCCCAGCACATGGCCAGGGGCCATGTAGCAAACCAAATGGGGGCTTTCCATACTGTGAGGAGAGTGCTTGACGGCATCTGTTGCTAAGCAAAGCTGGCAGAGTCCAGCTGGAGCGTGACAACAGGCAGGGCCAAGGGCCCTCCCATGCACCCTTTTGCATGAACTCCTGTGTTAACTCATGCGCTGGTCTCAGGAGAGCGCCTGTTTGTGCAGCCTGTTTGCGAGGCTCGGGTCGTGTGGCTCCCTGGGGGGCTGGGTGAAGTAGGAGCCGGGGAAGGGCGTGACTCTCCTTGCCCCCAGTCAGCCCACTCCCAGCTGTTTAGGTCCCTACCTCCATGGGCCCCTGCTTACCTGCGGGCAGGCCAGGGCTTTTCAGGGGTCCTGGGGCTTCACTTGGGGTCCCTAGGCTCACGGGGGCACAGCAGGCTTACACCCGCGTGTCTCGCACTGGAACAAATGATACGAGAGTTACCCAAAGAAGCTTGTCTGTCATCATTAAAACAGAAATTTCAATGTAATGAAGAAAATGCAGATCTCCAGCCCACCTCTTACATGAGCCTGTATTATTGTGCTTTACCATAATAAATTTCAGTATAGTGAAATTACAGATGTAAAAACATAGAATGGGGAAGAATATGGAAAAGAAGTAAGTGTTACAGTCTAGGAACAGATGTTGCATTTGTCTCTTGACAATTTGTGCCTGTGTTTGTCCCAAAACAGAAGTGTCCTGGGATTGGCATCTACACACATTGCCCTTCTAATCGGAGTTTAGTGAATTGCTGAACATGCTGCTGCTTTTCATCTATTGGTTCAATGATGCGTGGGATAACCATTCAGATGCGCTTTGGGATGCCTTGGGATAAACTATTAGTACTTCTTATGAACCTTTTCAGGATTTACCCTTAGACAGCAGACAAAATGGCTTATCCTCAGACAAATGTAATATCTGTTTGTAGCGTCAGAAACATCAACATGTTCACTTTCCAAAACTCTCTGCATGATTAATAATAAAAAGAGGTAGCACTTACCACGTAAAGATGATGCCCCTGACAACTTTGTAGTGAGTAGGTATACTCCAGAATTGCTTAGAAAGGCGTGCATGTACAGGTATTATAAAAGCTGTTCAGAAGATGATTACTAATTTCATACATTGAATCAATCGTACTATTTATGGACTATTTTTTGCATTTATTACAGTAGCGGAGTTAATAAATGTAGACCGTTTCTGACTTGGTTTCACATCATGTTCCTGTATCTTTATTGTACTTGTTCTTGGGACATCTGTTGGCTTTCCTGTACCAAAAATATTAATCCTTTAGGGAGCGCTCTCAAAATGGACACTTTTCAGCTCAATGAGATTTCACTATAGCAAACCATATTTGCAAGTCTGCTGCAGTCCCAGTACTTCATGCTTTTAAGTGCCCCACCAACGGATTTACTTGTAAATTCCCATAATATTTATGCTGTGCTCAGCAAGCATTGAAAAATAGGGAGGCTTTTAATGGTTCTTTTATTTTTTTTAACTTAATAAAAATGGTGTAGGTATGGTTTAAATGAAAAAATTGCTAGCTTAACTTTGGAATTTCTACTGTTACCTTCCAAATAAGATAATTGAAGGACGTTTTATTAGAAAAAGGTAACACAGAGAATTGTTTATAAACATTTTTAAACAGAAAATTTGAATAAGTGTAAAGTTGGCTATATAGGCTGCTAATTTTAACATATATTTATGAGACGCCAGGATTTCTTAAGATGATAGGAAATTCAAAAGCTTGTCTAACTCTATCTCAGCTCTGCAGTTTCTCCACTAAAAAATATCATCCTAAGAAATAATTCTTGAACCATCATGGCTACAACATCACTCCTAACACTACCAACAACATGTACTTAAGTCATTTTTAATATTAATATGCACATTCCATTAAGGTAAAAGTAGTTAACCAAATCACTCGTGGTCCACCAAAGTGTTTTTGTTGATCCTTATATTTGAAACCTTTTGTTTTATTGAAATTTCTGGATATAAATTTAGTGCCAGATATGCTTATTCATGTTTCCATTAAATATACCTATACTTTCTGTGCCCAGAACACCAATCATTCAGTGAATAACTGTATGTGGCAGATTCATACAACAATGTTAGCAAGCAAATGTGTATAAAAGAAGCTCCCCAGAATTACTGTAAACAAGTTTTATTGTGGTTAAGTTAATTTGATTGATTTGTCATATTCATTCTGTGCCTAAAAGAAAAGGGCATGCCTGAAAAATATAATGGTTGAAGCCAAAGTTTAAATAAAAAGCTTTTGCATTATAAATAAGGAAGGAGACTTGTGGATCTCATGGTGTCAGTTGTGGGATCAGAAAAACAGTGCTTAAGATGATTCCAAGACATTTGTAGAAAAAGATAAAGTGAATAGAAAAGAGTGGTAACCTTGAAGAATGAGCTGAAAGACCTTATGATCTACTGTGAGGAATATAAGTGAGTATGAAGCAATTTTGAAGGACTCTGCCATTAGAACTAGTGAAGGTAAAAAGTAAGAGGTATGATCCTGTTAAGTTTTTTTAAAGTTTTTCACTGTAAGGGTGGCCAGAGCCTGGAATAGGCTTCCCAGAGAGTTGGTGCTCTCACCTTCCCTGGAAATCTTCAAGAGCAGACTGGATAGGCACCTGGCTGGAGTCTTATGACCCCGCCACTCCCAGTGCTCCTTCCTGCCCATGGCAGGGGGTCGGACTAGATGATCTGTCTAGGTCCCTTCCGACTCATTGATTCTATGATAAAACTAGGTGATTGTGATGATAGTCTGACATAATTTTGTGTAGCTCTGTCTGGACTGTAAAGGCACAAGCCATGGTAATTAGGTGGAGTTTCTTCAGCCACTGTTTTTGTACTGCTCATACAGTTGGATAATACAGTCAAGGTTCAAAATGGAACAGATACATCATACCTTAGTGAAAAATATAGGAGTCCATGGAGAATAATGATTAAGCTTAAATTCTCATATAAAAATGACATGATAGGTATTAAATAAAGTTCTTCCTTGCTCTTGGAAAAAAATTAATTCCTTCTGCCAACTACTGTACTTGTTTGGACCCTCAGCAGCCAGCTCAGGACATTGTAGTATTTGTTTTAAAACAAAACTGTTTAATAGTCCTAATATAAGACTTATGATTCTTGACAGTATCCCATTCATAAGCTTGTCTGTCACTTTATAGTTTTCTTTGCTGTTGTAAGATGGTAGTTTAACTTTTTATGTGAATGTTTGGTGCTTTACCTTAATAGGCAAATGTGTTTTAATAAGCTGTATGACTTGTAGCTGTTCTAAATTCCATTCCACAGTGAGCTAAAAATGTGATGAAGCAAGCAACATAGATAAGAACACTTGTTGGAAAGCATTATTTATCTTGAATTAACTTGAGATGATAGGAGGGATGTCCACTGAAATCATTAAGGATTCTGGTGTTACCTGAATTTCCCATTTTATTTCATTTCATTACTTGCTAAATTTCTGAATTTAAATACTAGTTTCTCTCTCAAACAGATATTTCGTGAAGCTCGAAGAACAGTACCAAGTATTGTTTACATGCCTCATATTGGTGACTGGTGGGAAGCTGTTAGTGAAACTGTGAGAGCTACTTTTTTAACTTTGCTGCAAGATATACCATCATTCTCCCCTATATTTCTGCTGTCTACCTCTGAATCTATGTACAGTGAATTGCCTGAAGAGGTAAGTGTAAAATATGTTTTAGTTTTTTTAAATTTATTTTAAAATACTTCTAATTAAATTTGCCAGCGTAGCTTTTTATAAACTCTAAAATCTCATTGAATGAAGGGTTTAATATTAATTTAAATATACTAATTTTTGCAATTTAGTAATGTTATGCAGAGAGCATTAGAAAAATTTTTTCAAATTTATTCTATCTTACTGTATGTACTTGAGGATGATGCCCCCCCCCCACCGCCCCTTCCTCTCCC